ATGAGGATGCTGAGATTATCTTTATTAAAAATTCGATATAAGTCAATTTGAAAACATCAAGAATATGCTAGAATGATTTTTACTATGATAAGACCAGTAGTAAAACTGACTATTTTTATTGCTGTCACGTGCTTACGATGTGACTCTCAGATTTTATTGATTACTATTTGTAGCAAACAACCTCTAACCAGACCAGATACTCGACTGTTTCGAAATAAAAGAAAAACACCCAGAAGTCACGCATACTTTGATCTTCTATAGACTAGATTTTAGCTTCAACATTCTCAGTTTCGATTGGATGGAGGATTTCATAATAAGAGAACCGCTGGAAAACCTGGGAGTACTGGACAGCTGATGTCAGCTCATGATGAAATCCTCCATCCAATCAAACAAAATCCCTACAAAACCAATACTTGAAAATTCCCAGTTTTCTTAAGAACAATTTAAGTTCTAAAGTTTTTCACTTTATTCCTGTTCTATTAAAGCTTTGCGATTATCACATATTGACATGTATTATTATTATTCCCTTGCGTTCCTAGTGGGACATAGAGCTTCAACAACACATCTTCACTTTGTTCTGTTTTCTGCCGTCCTCTTCAGCTGGGACCACGATTGACCAAACTCTCTCTCATCTCTTCCTCACACGATCTTCTTCATGTCACCCACTTGTCGCTTCCCATTTGGATGCCACTAGAAGGCCTGGCGTGTGATGTCATTCGGCTGTTAGACTTATACTACCGTTTTTCATGTCGTTGTTCTTATTACTTTTAGCATGATGCTATATCACGCATTGTGAAAATATTAAACATTAGATGACAAACTGCGTATACCCTTTTTCACTACACATTTTTATTCGATTCTTACTACAGCAACTATAATAACGACGCCCAAAGCGTGTATAGACTAAACACTAACAGATGTTTTTTCTTCTTCCCTTGCAAAAGGGGCCTTACAGTTAATTCTCTTATGCAAGAGGTAAAATATTTGAAAAGACTTGTCATTGGTGAAGACGAGAAAGACTGATAGATTGTCAAGGCTTTATCTTGTCTGCTTACTTTGAATTTCATTTGTACCGAATACACCATTCTGGTGTTCTCCTTTAATAATTTGTTTGGTTTGTCTGCCTGTCTATCTGTTAAACAGCATAGTAACCTTGACCTTTATTGTTGCTTTCATTACTTATTCTCCGTATCTCATATCGCAATACATTTTCTTTGATGAATTTTATCATTCGTCTAATGCACACCGTTAGATTTACATTCGCATCAAATTAAAATTCATACGTCAATTAAACAGTATTTTGTTTTTGTATATTTTGGCTACAGTGGTGAATATAATGGTGACGAATTTAGTTCAATAACGGTAGAACTTGGATACAGTAAATTCACTGTTCACATGTTTAATTAGTAAACTGAACTTGAATACACATACAAACTTGTAAACAGAAAGATAAACAAACAAACAAAGAAGATAAAATTATCAACACAATTGATCAATGCAAATGTGGTATATTTACAGTTAGAAGTATATCAGACATTGTGACTTCAACAAAACAAATAAATAATAATTGTTTACTTAATCAATTCATTGGCGAAAATGAAAGTAATTAACTACTATTTTTAAACTGTTTACAGTCATAATAGCAATGTAAACAGAAACATGACTGTATTATTCCAAAGTAAATTAACACATTCACTATAGAATAGTGAACACAATTTCCTGACACAAAACTTTTGTTTACTTTTAACATATTCAACAGGGTAACTAAAGATATTGTAAGTCAATGAGATAGATAAACGAATATGAAGAAGGTAACGGGAACTTATCGAGATATGAAGTCAATTGGTTGATGGTGACTAACGGTGGAATCCAGGATGCGCATTTCATCCTATTTGGGACTCGTCATCTGGATGTACATGCATTCCTCAGTGAGTGATGGTGTTTACACAGAGGCTCGAACCAGTGACCATAGTTTCAAAAACTAAAGCGTTATCCACTAATCACCATCAAGCAATTGAATTCAGGTTACATATCCAGACATTGTCGCAGCATCTCCACAAGGAGCCAACATGTCAACCTGAGACCGAGCACTTCAGTTTAATCAATCGACGGGAAAATCTAAATTGAATTAAATATTGACTTTTAGAGTTCGGTGAATTCCATCTAGACAACACAACTACTCTCTACGTGTGTTGTATTTATTTGTAATCGTAGTACTAATATTTCGAGATGACCGAATTACACGAATCCAACCAAAACACAGAGAGGGCGGAATTCAGGAATTTGTATTTAGTGGAATTATAATGCAGTTAATATAAGAAACATATTAACAATCAACAGTAAGTGTTTAAACAATACAGAGATAGAAATAGTCAATCAGCATAAAGTGGTTTAGACCAGATGTCAATGATGTCATGAATTGATATCTTTCTTCACATTGCTGTCCCACCCACTCTTACTTCAGATAACATCAATCGTTGCGGAAGGCGATGGTTAGGCATGTTTGCCGCATGCGTCAGCTATCCTGATTGATAGAGCTTCGATTTGCAGAATATACAAATTAGATCATAGAAAAAATTGAAAAGACGTTTGCAGAGAAGAAAATTTTCTTTTCGATGACAAAGTCATCAATTAGACTGTACATTCGTGTATATTTAATAAAAAAAATTGAGAAAGTTCCAAAACTATTTCCGGTCAACGGTCAAATTATAACGAATAAAATAGGAACTTAAAAAGTAAAAGGTAATGAAATGAACAGGGTGTTCAGATAAAAAACATAGTGTGATAAAAATTACTGAGAGAATTGACTGTTTATGATGGCCATGATAAAAACAAAGGTTGGGCATACTTTGAAGAACTTTTCAAAGCCCTATACGAGATCCAGCCAAACCTCTAAAGGAGAGAGAGGAAAAAACATCTGGACATAGCTTAAGCACTAGCGACCCAACGATATTAATTCACAAGAAGTACATCCAACCTTTGTTGTTATCTTCGCCATCATAAACAGACAGTCCTTTCAGTAATTATTATCCCATCATATTTTTCATCCGAACATCCTGTTTATTTTATTATTTTTTAAACTCTATTTGTATTCAATGAAGAAAATTCCCTTTATCGACGAAATCATCTCCAGAGACTATACAGTCGTATCTACATTTACCAAGAATGTAAAGTAGTCCATTATTGAGTAATAGGGGTGACATAATTGAAACAATTACTTAGCAGTGCCTTCAAAAGTAAAAACTAGTTATAAATTACATAATACTCAACGGCACAAAGGAAGGAGTTAAAAATTTGATAAGGTTAAGATTGTTATTGAGTGAGAAGAGAGGTAGTTAAGTGTCCATTTAACAAGTGCGAAGAAATGTATAAATGGAACATGTGAGAGTGACAATACTGAATTAATTAATAAAGTAAAAGCAAAATAACTATTAGAAAAATTAAACTACAGGGAATAACTAATGAAGAGGTTAGACCATGGTGGAATAAGAGACTGGACAAACTTTTTCTGTATATAAAGTTCAGGGTTGTAGTGAAGAATTTCCAACGCCTCCGCCATACACAAATACCAAAAGGTGACGCCCTTTGTATCATTTGGTGACACCTTGTAGGAGTTCTTGAAAGACGATTATGGTGGAGCTGCGTGACTTATGCTCACCAATCGCTCGAGAAATGAGCTAGTAACGGTCTTGCATTGTCCTTTTGCTAACCATCTCGGATAATGTTCACAGATGCGTTTGGAAAGCGGACGCTTTTTGCGCCCAGTATAACTAGCTCCACAACAGCAGGTGAATTTATAAACACACATTGAAGTGACCCAAGCGGCAGTTTATCCTTCACACATCAGTTGGCTGTAGAAATTGATCCGTAGCCCAGCCGAAAGGAAGGCTTTTCTCAGTTATCTGGATAAGCGGTTCTTCAAAATCTCAGCTGCGGTATCAACTTTCAACTCAAAGTTCATGATAATCAGCTTCTTCGGCACCGTCAGGGTTCTTTTGGGTCTTTGCTTTATTTTCATGTTTTTCTCAATGAATCTTGAAGGATATCTATTTTCCATGAGGACTCATCCGAATCTCTTCAGTTCACCTTCGATTCTACCACTGGTACATATCCTCCTTATGCTTGTAGATAAGGAGTAGATCAGATTTCTCTTTCTTCTGGAAGGGACCCAACTATGAAAATTCAGGTATTGACCATTTCATGTTGGTTTCCTACAGATTGATCTTTGAAGAGAAACGTGACGTTGAATATTACGTAATTCATAACTCTTATTTTTACTTTCGAAGCCACTGCTAAGTAATCCTATCAATTATGCCACTCCTATTATTCAATAATGGACTACTATACATTTTTGGTAAATATAAATACGACAGGATAACCTCTGGAGATAATTTCGCCGATAAAGAAAATCTTCTTCACTGTCACAGTCTCTTTAATTTTTTCTATGACAGAATTTCATGGCGTCATTGATTGACTTTCCTCTTCTTACCTGATACTCTTCGTCTAACCTCATCATTACTTATTATTTTGCTCCATTCAATGCAAGTTAAAGAGAACTATGGCGAAAAACTCTAAACTTTTCATATCATTCTATCTCCAGAAGCTATATCTTACAGTCATTAATTAGGAAACGATATGCTGTTGCACGGTACACTTATCCTTTAGTATGCAGCTGAATATCATGTATAAACCGAAGTAGACACGAGTTAGCAAATACAAAGACAGCCTATTTTAGTCATGCTATTTCACCAGTAACTAGTCCTTTATCACCTCAAAAACACAGTAACAGCATTATAGATCCAATAACCAAACGACTGTGAATAACGATTATGTTCAAATGTTCATCATATCAGGTATGGTGTTTTTCCCAATCATAATGACCATAATTTAAATGTAATCCAGTCAGGAAGTGTTATACAGGTTTATTTTCTATTGTTGGAAGCTTTCAAGTCATCAGTGTAGAAGAGTGAATAAACCACTGTAACAACAGAAGACAAGGGCCAGGCAACAGATCGTTTTATTATGAAAATCAACACGTATTTATACATCTTTCAACTACATTATTATAGACAAGCGCAGTCATCTGATTGGTTGTTTAGGTAGACAAACGCAGGCTTCTGATTGGTTCTCTCTGCGAATCATATTCTGCCACGTTAACTTTGCTGTGATTGGTTGTTGACTCAGGCTTGTTCATATTTTCTCACGCCCTATTAGTGACTAGACCTTAACGTAGATTAGTGCCAACCAATCGGCTAGCAGCCTGCTCTCACACCACAAGAGTTAATGACTTTTCTTCAAATAACAGATACATGTGTGCTGCATATTGTTTTATGTAAGACAACAGTCAGATGTATATAAAACTTTAATCATAACAACAACAACAATAATAATAATGATATAAAACAAAATAATTGAGCATATATAATAAGATCGAAATTTGGAAAGAATCTTTAGGAAGATGATATTAGTAGTAGTAGTAGGACTAGTATACAAAAATAAGACATCACAAAAACAACATGAGTACATCAAAACTGATTAAATAAAGGCAAGATGTTTGGACAATAATCGTAGGATAAGGAATACAAAAAAATGAGAGAGAGAGGGAGTTCCTCACTACTAACTGTTTGTTTTTTTTCAAATCGTAAATGTATCATATTTTTTGCTCGTTTTCCACTATTTGTTTATCTACAAAACCGGTTGTTCCATTGCATCTAGATTGTGATAACGACGTCTTCGGAATGTATAATACCAAAATAACATAAGCAATACAACAGTGGAAATCAATGCACCAAGAAGCACAAGTAAAACGGGGTGTATTCGATAAGAATTGTCTGGTTGATTCAACGAACATAAATTGTAAAAACTTTCACGATCTATTAACAATGGTTTAATCTGTTCAAATACAAGATTGACAGGACAACCAGAAGTACCCGGTTGACCTTTACACGCGGGGAATGTTAAATATTCACCTTTGTCATCAGTCCAACCTTTCTTGTATAACAATTTAAGACGGTAGTCACTTTCTTTATTCGATTTCTCTGGACCATATAATTCCAGAATCACAGTTGAAGCATAATTGATAGTTTGATTGTCATAAACACCGAGACCAGCTAATAAATAGGTTACGTCGGTGTCGTGTGCTGAATAAACCATTATGTGATTAGTTGACAGGGTGTGTCCTTCAGTCATGTTTAGATTTCCACCATAAATGACCGAACGTATATGTTTGACAAATGAGTCTAAGAAGACACCGATCTCTAATCGGATTATATCACTTGATGAAGCGAACTTTTGCTGTAATGAAAAAAAAACCCAGTTATAAACGACAAAATCTCATATTAAACAATTATAACAAAGTCAAACTTTATTAGATAAATGATAACATATAAAATAAATTTGGTTTCGCGCTATTATTATTCCCCGTTTTATAAGGTGCAAAAGCAGCTGTAAACAGGGATATTAAGTTTATTCGTACCTCGAAAAAAATATTTTTAAAAATTCCTTTACGTTCCTAGTGGAACATAGGACTTCAAGCTAGAGGCCTGAAGTTTGAGGCAGCGGTAGTGTTTATTTTCAACGGGATGAGGTTGCTAGCCTCATGCTCAACCTTCCCTCTTTAGCATTTGTATTACTGGATTAGGGAGGTTAAAGAGTGCGTCGGCGGGGACTCGAATCCCGAACCATATGCGTGGTCGGTGAGCATTCTACCGCTGTGCCACTGACGCAATGAAAAGAATATTATATATCCAAAAATAGTGAACAGTTAATTCATAAATAGTTACACTTTTCATTTAGTGGGTTACTAAAAAAGTAAAAGTCTACACAACGCTGAAGTCACTTTTTGGCAGAAAATCGTAAGCATGAGTATATATTGTAAAATGCAGGTGAAGTTAGAGATCAAATAAATCTCAGAACTACAACTAATGAGATTAGTCATATCATGTTACAACTATTTCACATAACTTAACCTTTTCATTATCAGTTATTCTTAAATAACACTAGACAAAGGAAAAAATTCATTCGCGTTGTTTTACAAACTAACCTACGGCTAGATTTCCCAAATTCACTGTGTGATAAAATTAAGACGTTTTATTAGTTAATGTTTTGACCACCAATCACTGCATCTATACCTTGAAATTTATAAATTTTTATTAACTAACATTTCACTTTGATTGAACACAGGATAGTAACTGGTGGCATGCATTTAGACCGTCACTTGATGCAGGATGAATTCTATCATTTGGGTGGCTCATCGTCGCGGTGCATTCTGAATCAATGTTAGGTGGTTGAATGAAATCAGCAGGAAAGTAGTTTTGATGTAGATAACAGATAATAAAACAACTAAGTGAGAAGCAATGCGATAGCTTGCTCTATTTAGTATTTTCTAAATATTAACAGTTACATATTAGAGTATGTCTAGATTAAATCATAATATCAGCTCATAGTTTGATATGCATACTTTATATTTATATATTCTTCATAACCATTTTCCAATCATTTTTCGTATAGAGATAGAACACTGTGGAACCTTGTAAGGCAGTGCATTAATTTAAGTTCATTAGGTATGTGGTAACAATGAAGAAAAACAGTACATTGAGGACTAAAAATAATAATATGAACATGGGCGAAAGTATACGGAGAACATATAAACTCAGAAAAAAAAATTTAAAAGCTAAAGAAACTTAGTTTACCCTTTCAGTTGGATTTGTGAATCCCTTAAGGATTTCAGTAAGGAAAACTTATATGAATTATCACATATCAGTGTTAATTCTGAATTAGACTACTATTCGCTTTCCCTAATACGAGATTTCAGTATCCTATGAACTACAGATTTCAAATCTAAATTGCCTAACGTGACCTAGAAAAAATCAATGTCTCTGAAGTCTAGTACCATGTTTTTTCTAGTTGTTATTAAGTATTTTTCAGACTTTTCAGCTGACCTGACTCTTCGAGGAAGGTGATGGATGGTTAAGCATGCGTAAAGTGTATTCCGGTCACCTTAGTCATTGATTTGCCTTATTTAGAAGTACATCTAATCACAACCTTGTTCAACACGCAATTTTACCACAGTAGCCATCATATGAAGATGTGACTGAGTTGCTGTTATGATCAGGCTAAACAGTCACTTAAAACTGCCACCTACTATCATTTAGACTGTCTGGAAAAAAGGATGAAGTGGGTCATATTTTATAACAAAAAGTCATGAAAATATGGTCAGTTTAATTTGGTATATACAGATTGCCTAGCCATACAGTTATTAGCAGTTATTAGAGTGTTGTATTACTACTACCTTATATGTCAAGATAACACGACTAAAGAGAAAAACAAATTAACTATTTTATTCTGCCTTTGAATGCATTTTTGCAACAATGGCTTGTGTTGCACGTTGTAGGATTAGTAATGCAACATGTTTGTTCCCCTAAGAGTAAAAAAATAATAAATAAAAGTATTTTTTATTGCACACTAGTCAGTAACTAGTGTAATGTGTCTAGTCCAATCTTCGGTGCAGACTGAATTTTATCAGTCAAGCTTGCAATGTAGCCATCATGCTAGGTGGCTCGCCATTACGGTGCACTGTGGATTGTTGGTATTAGATGGTTGGAGGCAATCGGCAGGAAGCCTTGGACTTAGGTTTCGTGCTAGTTATCACTCGTCAGCAAGGCGTATCTACAACCTTGAAGGAACTCATGTCCCTTCTGAGATTCAAACCACAGTCAGAGACGGTGGTAACGTCTCTGGCTGCAGCATTGGGTAACGCGGGTTCGAATCTCAGAAGGGACATGAGTTCCTTCAAGGTTGCAGATACGCCTTGCTGACGAGTGCCAACTAGCACGAAACCTAAGTCCAAGGCTTCCTGCCGATTGCCTCCGACCACCTAATACTAAAAAATAAAAGTGTTACATATTCTGCAATAAATACTAAACAAATCAGCACAACCACTTACCACCCAATAAAATTGTGAGACTTCGTGTAATTCATCTAGTAATTCTTTCGTACACCACTCAGGAAGAGTAAGATTATGAGCAAGCATACAAGTGATTAAATCAGAAATTTCCCAAACATTATGACGGTTAACTTGACCAATCTTATACACACTGGTAAGTTTGTTAAACAATTTAGAATGTTGACTTTCAAATTCAACAGATGAAACACTATTCATTTGTTCTCGTTGTAATTTATCCCGAAGAGGACACGGTGAAATACCTAGAAGTGCATCAGTTACCTATGAAAATGTTAGCAAAAAAATAACACAGTGTATATTTATATTACATTAATTTAAAAATATGAAAAATAAGAAATACTATATCAATAATTACCAGACCTTCAAGCTAAGTAATTGGTTTTCAACCAATGAAGAGTCATAGCACAATTACTTCACTTTTTAAATTTTAAAAAATATTTTAAAATCTTAAGCACTGAGTTTAGGTCAAGTTAGTGTATATATCTATTCAGCGTTGGTAGGCTAGAACAACATTAAACGGCCAAATGATAACGGTACACAAATTGACTCAAATATCTTGCACCAAATAACTTCGATTATGGAAAAGGTGATAAATGAAATTTTTAAAAATACCCTGAAGATCGTGCCGAAATGTTGTTTAGAATGACATTGAAGGCATAGAAATTAAATCATCCAGGTAGAAGAGAGACTAAATACATTTCTCTGGTCTAAAACTCTCCATCATCCCACCTATGAGGGAATATTGGAATTAATAGAATAAATTTAAGATCTAAGTGAAAGCCACTTGCGAACACCATAGTGATCGATTTCAAGTTGAACTGCATACATAATTTCTGTTATTTCCTGGGGAGATTAACCATGATGTCTAGACGTTTGGACATAGATCGAATCAACAACTACAGAGGCTTTATGCATGTTGTGGCTCACTGTTGAATAACTTACGACTGGAAAGTTTGTTCAGTAATTTCACTTGAGTCACTGAATTTACCACAATCAACAAACCATCAGCAGCAAAATAATGCGTTGTTTGTGTATCTTCGTCTAAACACTATAATTTCTCTACTTCTAGTACTACTGTGGTGGTGTGATACAGACAATGTGTTCCAACGGAATATTATTCCCACATATTCCAACAGTTCAATACTGCATTATCAACAGAATACTATATATTATTATTATTATTATTATATCCTTTAATTCCTAGAGGAACATAGGGCTTCAGCTGCGCGTCTCCATTGCCTTCTGTTTTCTGCCAACTTTCTCACCCCGCTCCATGCTTTCATCTCCTCCTCACATGAGCTCCCCCAAGTCACCCTGGCATTGACGACCAACTCGCCGCTTCCCTTTCGGGTTTCACTCGAGCAATGGCTTGTGTAGTAATGTCACTTGATGGTTTCCTCAGTGTATGGCCAATCCATCTCCATTTCTTCCTGCCTATTTGTTTCACAATCGGTTCCTGGTTGGTTCGCTCATTGCCAGAGATCGCTGTTGCTGATCTTTTCTGGCCATCTGATCTTGAGCATTGAGCGAAGACAACTGTTAATGAAGGTCTGAAGTTTGTTGGAGATGCTCTTTACGATGGGCAGTGCAAGTCTCTGATCCGTATAGTACCACTGACTGACTTCACATTGGAGTTGAAAATCCGGATGTTATTTTTGATGGTGAGTGATGTTGACCTCCACACAGACCTAAGGGTAATGAAAGCCTGTCTTGCTTTTCCAATTCTGGCTTTGATATCCTCATCAGTTCCGCCTGTAGTTGAAATGATGCTTCCCAGGTAGGTGAAGGAGGTTGTTTCTTTCAGGTTCCTCCCATTTATGCTGACTGTCGTTTGCTGTTGTTGCTATTGGTGTTGGCCAAGAATTTTCATCACCTCTGTTTTATCTACGTTCACTATATATATATATATATATATATATATTTGACTTCAAATTGAAGTATGCGCTGAAGATGTTGCCTAGTTGGGCAATGAAGGCTTCGCAAATTAACTGTCGAGCTCAGAGAACACGACCACATCAAAATATTTGAAAATATTCCTTCGCTTTCGTGTCTTACTTACTTACTTTACTTTACTTCGGCTATCTCCTACGGGAGGATGAGCCGGCTTCATGAACGTCTCGAATCATCGCTGCCCAGGCGCGGCAATTTGTAAGAGAGTTCATGAAGTTTCATGGGAATTTGGTACAAGTGATGTCCCCAGCATCGCTCGGCCTTTTGTTTGAGAGTGCAGCTCTAGCCTTTACACAACCAAGTGTGACCTACAAGGCAGTAGGAGTGGAGTAAGGAGTCCACTATCCATTGGCAGCCGATGACCGGAGTTCGGTTCATACGCCTTTTGAATGGGGCCAGACATCCAGGACATCCAACAAGCCCTTTGTCCATACGTCTGCCGGTGAGCTCCAGTGAGCTTCATACGCCAATCGTTGGAGGTTTGGAATCAGGGTTTAGCCATCTCCCTAGACTGTCATCCAATGGACAGTCAACCCGGTGGAGAGCGCCGGGCATCCGCTTTCGTGTCTTGCTTGTCTATAGATGCACTATTTGTGTCAACAGGTATGAAACAGTTTTCAGTATCTGTATCAATCAGTACACGTTGAAACCTTGTTCAGTGATTTGCGGTAGTTGTGCAGTGTTCTAAAGACAATCTCGACACTGGCAACTAATAGCCATATCAACTAAAGGGCGACAGTTTAGTAGATGACAATAGTAAAGTAGTTGTGATTTGTATATTATAATAACGGCAGTTTCTTAAAGGTGTGGCATGGGAAATAAATAAACCATAGATCAACGAAATAAAATTATAGAAGTCGCATTACCTAACGATTGTTAAAATGTACTAGAACCCAGTATATAGACCCACTATGATTAAAAAAATTCTGCTTGTTTAACCCTTTAACTCAAATGAATTTATTATTCAGACGGATAATGAAACCCAATGAATATTGTCTAGCAACTTGCATATTTCGGTGGCAGGTAGAGTGAAAAAGGCTGCACAAGAAGAGAACAAATGAAAAAAAATCATACAAATGACAGTGGTAAATTACAAAATAGAGATTTGAATTTCTGTCGTCCACTTATAATTTATTTCTCCACTTAAAGTAGCATTTTAGGCTGTTGGCTTGTTTCTCAGCCCAATGCCAGATCTACTAATGATTACATCTGTGAAAAAACATCGCATCTGATAATCAAACGAAGCTTTTTCGAAACAATGAGTTTAGTAATTTCCATGTTCACTAGTGAACTTAAACCATAGTTAAAATCCCTACTATTGTCAAGCATAACTGCAAACTAAAACTCGTATTTAGTAAACAAATTTAACACATACTACAGCAATGTAGTGCACCATGTTTAAAAACCAATATAAAAGACTCAAACTTACTTGAGGTTTCGTGTGCACAGGTACAGGAGACCAATTTACACCATAATTAGCCAGAGGGGAATGAGATAAGTTATAAAACCCAGCTGAATTAGCCATTGCTGACATAAGAGTTCTGTCAACATCTGTGCTACGTACATAATAATCGGAACCATTATATTTATCGGGAATGAATCCACTATACTTTGACCGTAACCATCTACCAAGCACGAAGTGCTGCTGAATACCCTCATCTGTAAGTTGACCAAAGCCCTGTGACCACACGGATGAAAAGTTCGGCAAGATAGCAGGTATGTCAACTATAGGAGACCGGTCACCATGTCGAAACAAAATGTGTAGATGTCGGAGGTCATTATTCAGGTGGTAACCACGGGAATCAGTTGAAGGCTTATTCGATACATGTGCTTCTTGGACAGAAATCTCAGTCAAAACACTGAGTAAAATAATGACTAATCTTGTCAAACACATTTGTATATATACGTGGTTACTGTGCACAAGGTTAGGTGGCCAGTCCACGATCAGCACTAAATAAAAGGTAGAAAAAAACTTCTATTAATTACGTTAACGTATATTTAAGTTTATCTAAGTGTTAAATAAGCTTCATGAAAATTCTTCTTATTTCAGATGTAAGCAAAAAACCCATCTGTGGTTTTCGAATCCTATTCAGACGACGTGACGCATATCTTGATGCCCATATTTTCCTAGGTTTGTGTTCAAATAAATGAATGCTTCATATGGTGAAACTCCAAAAAATGCAACAACATATGGATGCTTAAAAATAGTTGGCAAAAATCATTAGTGTAATATATATTATTATTGCTCCCTTGGGTTCCTAGTGGAACATAGGGCCTAAACTGCACGTCTCCACTTGCTTCTGTCTTCCTTCTGCTGTACTTTTCACCTGAATCCATGTTAGTCCATACTCTTTCAACTCCTCTTCACACGATCTCCTCCATGTCACCCTTGCAGTGACGTCCCACTCGCCGCTTTCGGGTTCCACTCGAGCAATGGCCTGATGCGCGATGTTACCCAGCGGTCTTCTCAGTGAGTGTCTAATCCATCTCCACTTTCACCAGCATATTTGTTGGGTGATTGGTTCTTGTTTTGTTTGTTCCCATAGTTTCTTGTTGGTGATTCTTTCCGGCCCGGCTATCCGATCTTCAGTATAGCCAGCTAAGACAGTTGTTGATAAAGGTCTGCAACAGGCTGTTGGAAATATTCTTTGTGACCCACCAAGTTTCTGAATCGTCTAGAAGAACTGACTTGACGTTTGTATTGAAGATCCGAATTTCGTTGTTGATGCTGAGTGACGAAGATTTCCATATTGGTTTCAGGTTGATGAATATGTTTCTCGCCTTCCCGATTCTCGATTTGATATCCTCGTTCGTTCCTCCTGTAGTTGAGACAATGCTCCCTAGATAAGTGAATGAAGTACCCTATTATATATATATATATATTTCAGAATGGTAAGAAATAGTGAGGGAAACAGAAATTATAAAGCACGAAAAGACAAATTATTTGCGAATAATTAATTTTTAAAGGTAAGTTTGGTGAGGTAATGCAATTTTCTGGGATTTGTAAATTAACATTAGGGATCATATGATAGCAAAAAGTTAATTTCCAATATTTTCAAAACTGCGATACAACAAACCTTGGTTCTTTTGTAGAAGAAATAGAGCTCGCGGTAGATGTACTCACGAGAACTGACGAATACAGTCTGCAGACTTCTAAATTTACATGCAAGTACACTATTTATTGCTTCATTAAATCCCATCCAACGCTTTAGTAACATGACTTTTTTTTCATCAGTTACAGCAAACTTATTAAGTGTCCAAGAAAGATAATACACAAATAAAGACGATTACATGTTGCACTACCTATACCACTGATTTAATTTACCTACGAACACAGTGAATTTTCTGGTAATTATAAGTGCATATTTCTTAGGCGACTAAAAATAATATTTGGCACATTTGTAACTCATAAAATCAAAAGTGTCAGATGTAGAAATAACAATAAAGAATAATTAAGGTAGCAAACGACAGACATCAAAAAGTGCTAGTGACCATCCAGAAAACGACTGATGTTTCTTAAAAGGCAGTATAATAGGAATTTACTTCTTGGGTGTCTCAAAAAATAGCTGCTTTTCATACGGTTGTGAAAACAAAAAGACATACAAACTCGAGGTCCAGCAAACAACCATTCTAGGAGCATTTGGACTTCAGATTTCGTCTTTTTTAATGTTAAACATACAGCAAGGCCCATCCCATGACCGAATATTGTTTCTAACCAAACAGTCTGAATCTGAAAAATTCACTTTAAGGGTATCAGTAGACCCCTCAGCTAGCTCGCGTGGGCTCGCAGGTGTAGGGATAGCACTGAGTGTTAAGGCGGAAAAATCAGTTCTTGACTGGATCCCAGTAAATAGTCGTATGTGTGCGGTCCGTCTGAATGGGTCCGTTAAAAAAAGGAAAGACGGCGCTACCCGTCTTTGACTTTTCGTAGTCTCCGCTTACGCCCCAATAGACTGCAGTTCGTATAAACTAAAAGATGACTTCTACCTGAAACTAATTTGCTGCAAAAACAAAACGTTCAGATATAGTTGTTTACAGGCGACTTCAATGCCCAAGTAGGGAAGTTGTGGCAGACTGAGAAGTATTTAGGTGGTAAGTATGGAGTTCCTTACCAACGAACCGACAATGATCGTCTTCTAAAGTTTTGCTCAGATAATCATCTGCTTCTAGTCAGCACTAACTTTAGGCACAAAGAGAGACATTGTGTAACTTGACGAACTCCATCACCGAATCAACGCTGGACTTAGATAGACCACATAGCCATAGGGTATCGTTAGCGAGGGTCAGTAGAAGACTGTCACTCATCCTAGAACACGTGCGTAGACTCTGATCACGCTCTGGTTCGCGCACGTTTATGCTTACGACTAAATGGACATAAGAAATTGACGGCAGCAGAACAGTTACGTCCCCAGCCAGATCGAGACACTAAGTCTTTATTTAAAGAAATAGCGAAACGAATGTCTGAGGTCGACAGCAGCACTTCCCCTGAGGTAGCTGTAGACACAGCTGTGAAAGTTGTCAATAAGCTAAAACCTAAAGTTAGTAAAAGCCATCGGATCTCCACCGCCTCATCCAAACTGATTGACGCAAGAAGACTGATTCCAGCGAGCTCCGATTATGATGAGGAGCGAAAGCTACTCAAACGAAAACTTACAAGAAGTCTTCGCAACGACCGTGAACAGTGGTGGGTGACAAAAGCCAGAGATGGAGAAAGCTTCGAGGATAGGCAACACCAGGCAACTATTTAGACTCATCAGGGAAACGGGTGGGAGAAGACAAATCATTAGTGAAACAATCTCGGAAAAAAATGGCACTACAATTAGCTCCCGGGATAGACGACTGGAACGCTGGAAAGAGCACTACGAGGAGCAGTTTAATTGGCCCACAGCCACGCTCAACCTTCCGAACATCCAACACCTCCCTGAATGGGATATAGACACAGGTTCTCCATCCCTAACTGAGGTTACTAAAGCTGTCACCAATCTGAGACAAGGCGAAGCAGCGGGACCTGATGGAATGACTCCAGAGGTATTTAAGTACGGTGGAGACAGTTTACTGTCTGCATTAACTGAGGTACTAGGCAGTGTCTGGGAATCGGAGGAAGTCCCGACAGGTTGGTATAAGCCACTGATTATCCCGATATACAAGAAGGGAGACAAGTCTTCCTGTGATAATCACAGAGGGATTAGCTTGTCTAATATAATATCTAAAGTCTTAGGCTCAATAATATTCCGCAGACCAAGTGGTACGCGGGAGACGCAAACACGAGAGAGCCAGGCAGGCTTTAGACCAGGAAGACGGTGTATTGATCATATCTTCACCCTCCGACAGATTCTAGAACATAGGAATTCCTACCGGCGTCCAACAATCACTATATTCCTTGACCTAAAGGCGGCATTCGACTCTGTCGACCGAGAGGTTCTCTGGCGATGCTTGGTTATAAAGGGAATGACGAGAAAATACATTGCACTGATCAAGGCACTCACTCTACTGGAACTCATGAAGCGAGGTGAGGACTTACGGCGAGCCGTCACCTGAAGTGGTGGCAACTATTGGTGTCCGCCAGGGATGCCCATTATCCCCTTTTCTATTTAACTTCATCATAGATGTGTTAATGGACTTAACCCTAAATCACTTCAACGACTCAGGGATTGACTTGTTACCAGCGAGGTAATAATCTCGTTGACTTAGAATATCCAGACGATATATTCCTCCTAGGCGACGACGCTGACGAAATGCAGAGTCTTCTAAACACCTTGAGCAGCAATCTACGAATGTTTGGCATGCGATTCGCTCCCGCCAAATGCAAGATGATGTTACAGGACTGGACTACATCGACGCCTAGTTTAAAAATAGGAAGTGAAGTGGTAGAGCACGTTGACCGCTTCACTTATTTGGTAAGTACCATCAGCCAGTGCCAACAGGTTGATCTCTGACGAAATCTCAGCACGAATACAGGGGCTCGTTTTGCATTTGCCAGCTTACGCCGTCTCTGGCGTAGATGTGATATCCGACTATCGACCAATGGTTGGGTGTACTGCTCATCAGTCTGCTCCGTCCTCCTTTATGGCTGTGAGACATGGCCATTGAGAGTGGAAGACATGAAAAGATTAGCTATCTTTGATTATAGGTGCCTGCGTTCTATCTCCCGTGTGAAGTGGTATAATAATGTGAGCAATATTGAGGTTAGGCGTCGAGTGCTAGGCAAGGAGGGAAAATCAATCGACGAGGCTGTGAAATTACATCGACTGAGATGGTTAGGACATGTGTTAAGCATACCTGCCTAGTCATCGCCTTCCTCGACAATGGGCAATGTTAGCTGATAAAGGGTCAGGCTGGAAAAGAGCCAGCGGAGGTCAAACAAAAACATGGCTTCACCAGTCAATGAAATCTACAACAGTTAGTCTAAGCCAGTCACGTAGGAAGGTGTAGACTTCCTGGTTGGGGTCCTCGGGACGGTAAAAACCAATGGTCGGAAACAATTGGTGACATCGCTCAAAATCGTTCTCAACTGCTGGTGCATACGCATCCACTTCTTGTGACTTATGCTTTCCAGTGAAACCATACTGTTTTGCGTTACTACTATTCCTTTGTCTCACACCTCTGTTTACTATCTCTATTATGCATTTCTTCTACTTTCTTTGCTTTATGTGCTACAAGGAGGGAATGTGGCGACTTGAACTGGCGCACATATGTGCAAAGTTCTATGTCGAAAATAGACAGACAGACAGACCTAGTTTCAATTCTGAACACAGTTACCAAGGTCTATTGCGATTCTTCTGGACACTAGATTTACTGTTCAATCGAAGATTACCAAATAGAATCAAGTAAATGTAGTTCTTCTTTAGATGTCGCATTTTCTTCTCTGCGGGAAAACTTTTGTGAGGGACTGTAGATACTGGAGGACCTGAAAGTTTAGAATCATAGAACTGGAAGTCAAAGGCACTGGTTTTAAAGAAAACCAATATGCTTTATGACAATTGATTTAGAAGTCTGTAATGCGGATTAGTTATGCTGCCAATGCACAATATTTTGTCTCCGCGTTGAATTTAAAATATGCAGCTAATATGAAAAATGAATATTTAATGAATTCAAGTGAATTTAGAACGTGTCCTATATGTTTATCGTGTGCTCATTATACAGTTCCAAGTTTAATAACGTCATTTACTGGACCTATATCATACTATAGTTGCCAATAAAAGTTAGTAGCAGGAAATCAATTGAGTTTGCTAGAGCCTTTGATAGCGATAAAACACCTAACGTTGATCATTTTAAACCTCAACTGATGCCAAACTGTCTACCATTATATCCCTTTCTTTTCTTCCACTATTTGTTTACTGATTTTACTATCTGAATGATTTTGTTCTCGATCGTTCCCCGCTTACCTGAAAAATGCATGGCTGCTTTTAAATTATTGCTTGAATCTAATATAAAGGCTGTAAAGACTCGTTATTATAGACTTTTTTGGTCTTTACTCTTAAAGTAGACAAGGTTTTTTTTATACAAGCAGTCCTAAGGCTTTTACGACTACATGATCAAAATTCCTATTCTTTTTACAATAGGAACTCAATTCTGAAACCTACAGTTTAATTCTGGAATATTATCACTTCATAAACAACCACTTCTTATGCATCACGCACTTATTGAACTTAATAACCATTTGCTGCCACCATTTTAGCGTCGCCTGTGTAATGATATGTAACTTAGTGTAAATAAATATGCACAATGCCCAAAGACAGAAACTGGTGCAGTGTGATACGAATTACACTTGAGGTGCTCAGGATACTCGAGATTTACATGTTAAAGTAGTAAAGAGAGGCTTGAACGAAGGACTGATTGCTTGAAAGTCAAACACTTTAGTCAATGAATTACTACTCAACACAGTATTTATTAAACGGAATTCAACCTGCGTACAAACAGCTAATATCATGTTTAAACTATGAAAAATCACTTAATCTACTTCAAATTATTGAAAATTTTGAATTAGTACAGGCTTTTAATACATGGACACAAGGTTGAAGAGGAAAGTTACTGTAGATGAGGCACCGAGGTGTCTAATAAGGTTGTACACATTAAATTGTGTTTGTATTTGTTTGCTTTTGTATTCGAGGTGTAATTTAAATAACGAAAATCTTACGAACTCCATACATTTATTTTCCTTGTTATATTTGAATAAAGCAAGATGGACAAATTGAGCAGGATAGAAGAAATTTACTACGTTTCGTTGGTTCTTCTCAACTAATCGCAGAATATAAACACATTATGGGGAAAATTAAAAAGACGGTTGCACTGAAGAGAATTCCCTTTCCAAAAAAGTCATCAACTAGGCTGTACGTTTGTGTATATTTAGTAACAGGGTAAGAAGCTTCCAGAACTGTTCCGGGCGAGGTTCAAATTGATAAGATTGCAAATAGGGATTAAAACGCAATAACAGCAAAATAAACGGGAAGATAGGGTAAAAACATAATAGGATCATAATTACTGAGTGAATCGACGTTTTGTGCTATTAAGGATTAAAAACTTAGTAATAACAACATGAACAGGAAGTTCAAATAAAAAACATAGTAGTGAAAATAGAGCTTAGAAATCGTGAAAATAACAGAAATAAACAGTAAGTTCGGATGAGAATCACTATTGAGAGAATTGACTTTTTATGTGATTGCCATGGTAGGTTGCTAGGTTTTGCAAGTAAGCAAGAACTTGTCAAATTATTTGGTGCGATCTTACACTTACAATTTAGCAAATGGCTTGATTACTCGAAAAAAGATAGAATACAAACACTTAAAAAGGACATATCTACATGCTTTTATAGATTAAATACGTTTTAGAGGTATACTTAGTTGTCAAGATGACTATTATCCCGCTAAGGCTTTGCTAGCTGATATAGGTTCAGGTTGGAAAAGAGCCAGTGTGGCCAAACAAAAACATGGCATCAATCCATGAAATCCTTGACAGTTAAACTGAGTCAGGTAGGGAGATGCAGAATCCCGGGTTGGGGCCCTCGGGACTCTAGGAATCAATGGCTGGAGACAATAGGTGACATGGCTCAAAATCGTTGTCAATGGCGCAGATGTATTCAGTCTCTGTAATCTTCATATTCCTTTCTACCATTACCCATTCTGTTTCACTCTTATACTCGTCAAACTCTATCAATTCTCTTCACTCATCTTCTTGTCTACCTCTGTGTGCTATTTGGAACGTGGCAACTCGAACCGCTGCACTTCGGGCCAAGTTCTATGTTGAATCCAGACAGACAGACAGAAGGACAGCTCTAAGTAAAGGGCTACAAAGTCTTAAAGTGCATCTTTGAATGTGAGAAATGTTTGTCCGAATTCTGTCTAGTGTGCCTAGAGTTACCAAAAATCTGTGGAAACAGTAGGGCCTATGACTGCTCTGTATATGTATTTACTAAATATTCTCCGTAATTTAAAAAGCAAAATAGTCCCAAATCTCCTGAAATCAATGTGATAGACGTGAGATCTCAAATATTGCCTAAATTGTCGCCAGTGCGTCTGTAGCTATCGCCAACTCGGCAGGCATGAATAATGACTGAAATACATCACCAAAATAGCGACCGAAAGCAGAGTGCAACATACACAGCGAATATACAGTGACAAGACTTGATTTCAGTACGTCCTGAGACCACAACAATAGTTTCTAGTTTCATAAAAATTACAACTATTATTCTTGACACCTAATATACCCCAGACTCCACTAAGCTTAATTCTGATTTAAGGGATAATAGTTGCTGATCGTCGGGGTATTTTTTAAACGGTTGGTCCCGCTACTCATCTGTGTAACCTTGGTTAACCCCAAACAGTGACGTGGGAGATAAGTCATGACTGTTCTTACTGCACAGCGCTGCTTTATAGTGCCACATGTCACAACATAAGTCCTTTTACCCGGTATGCTTGAAAAGCGAGATAGTGATAATAACCGCAACCATTATACACATGGCATATATGTTGAACTAAATTACTAGAAGAAAAGTAAGACTACTATGACATCAGCACAGCTAGCAGAGGAGTGAAAATGCGAAAGACTGTGCATCTGCTAAGGACAAACCTATATGAAGACAATTTGACAGAAGGTAGTGTGTCATGGATACACCTTAGTTTGGTCGAAGGAAACGTTTATTTGATACAGCCTAGGTGTTGTCTTATGGTCATACGCCCCAACTTTAAGCTCTCCACCGAACGTTTCATCATTTATAATATATTTTCAAATTTAAAAGCCAAAAATGAACCAATTTTGGAAACCTCATTCACATGACAAAAAAGTGACTACTTAACTAACCTCTGGTTTACAACCTTGAATACCACCTTAAGGAGTATCTCACTGAAACGCTAAAACAAATAAGTAATTCGTTCAATACATACGGTGTTAGCTGAACATTTCTCAAATTAGTATAAATTTCATTGGTTCTTATATGACAAATCGCTTTAATTATCATACTAACCTTAGTGAACTTGAGGAAGAGTGGGAAGTTGGTTGCATTTGTATGGTATCGTCTGGTAGACATGATGACCCGACGCTGATGTTGTGGAAATTAATTTGTACGATGTTTAGTCTTTCTGTGTTGTTGAAGCCAATAAGGAGACGATAATAATGGCATAAACATGGTTTCTAGGAAGATGGAACAGATTTAGCAGTGTCAAATGAATAAATAAACATGATACTAGGACCAATGCAGTCTGCAGAACCACGTATTGATCAAATCGTTTATTCCCGAATCCGAGATGTAATGTTTTATACTGCTTCCTAATTCCTCACTAGATAAAGATTTTCCTTGGCCACGCATAAATACATGATTTTGAGGTGCTGTCCCCTCCTTTTCTGCAAGCGTGACATTCCGCACTCAATGTAAATTTACATGTTTATATGAAAATATAAATTATTATTATGGCCGATGATATGAACTAGTAATGCTAACATTGGGGTCTAACGCGAATCATGATGTTCACTAATCACAAATTCACACACTGAAACACAGGGGCAGAAAGGTAATAACTTGGAGTTGAGCTAGCTTGTGATGGGCTTATTTATTGGAGTCGCAAGTCCATTGGTGTAGGTGTCCACATAGCACTTATTAACGTCATTTTTATCGAACCCAATGGGTTGGCCTACCCTGCGATGTGGGTTCGTTACCTAATGGAAAAGTACTTGATGATTAGTCTGGCATTAAGAAGTCGCTAACTGGGAGATTAATGAGGGAGGAGATCGCCTGACACAAGAAGGACAGCTTGTTGCTGTATTCTTCTCAGTCCTTGTTGACTCATTCCATCTGAAACTGCTGTAGTACAGCTGAGTCTTAGGAACATATAAGGATCTTGGTTTGCAGCTTTCATTAACCGCAAGTTTATGATTATTATTGGGGTAAGTCCTAGTAGCATCTTTTTTCGCACTGAGTTTTGATCCAGTGCTACTAATGGAGCTGTTGTGTCATTTGTTGCAAGCAGAAGAACTCTATCGACATCAGTCGCGGTAAAAGCTGATTAATGCAAGTCACGTAGAGTAAGGAAACCTGAATTTCACCTCCTCCGTAGGCTGACAAGGGCCCACTGATGATGCGAAGTGGTAAGCATGTTACTTTCAAGGGATATATGTTGCGTGCGTTGTCTGACTAAACTGCCGTACACATATATTCTAGTATTTCTTCGTTCTTATTAATGTGCGCAGACGTTGTGGCTACTCGACGCCCACAATGTAAATCAAAAGGCACTTGCGAAGAGTACGAATGTGTATTATAGCAGTAGTCAAATTTCGAAATTGTGTCAAGGTAATATTCAACGGTAAATTGACAAATGTTTGCGAAGTACATATAAAATCGGTCTGTGTACACATATAATACAAGTATACAAATTAGATTAAAAAGCATATATACAGTTGGTATAGGGGTACTACATGTAGACTTTTCTCTGCATGACTTGGAAGACCATGGGGCTGTAGTTACTATAACATAATTCTTTCTAAGTCTGCCTGATTGCGTGTGATCTATCAAGTCTGACTCTTATGTAAAGTGCTCTCTCCACCTCTGGATCCTAAGAATGTGGAAGAATACCCTCGATTTCCTTAGAAGAACATGGCATTACTATTCTTAGAGGTAGCTTGCTTGTAAATGAACTGTAACAAGTGCATAATTTCTAAGGCTTGACTTTCATAATGAATGGTTCACGTTGGCTCCATAAATCAAGCGACTTCTAAGAAAAATGACAATTCCTTCTGTTATTATTATTATATGCTTTAATACCTAGAGGAACATAGGGCTTCAGCTGCGCGTCTCCATCGCCTTCTGTTTTCTGCCAACTTTTTCACACCGCTCCAAGTCTGCCCACATGCTTTCATGTAAATTTATGTTTATATGAAAATATAAATTATTATCATTAACTCCTCTTCACATAACTTCCTCCAAGTCACCCTGGCATTGACGACCAACTCGCCGCTTTCCTTTCAGGTTCCACTCGAGCAATGGCTTGTGTAGTAATGTCACTTGATGGTTTCCTCAGCGTATGATCAGCCAATTCACCTCCGTTTCTTCCTGCCTATTTGTTTCACAATCGGTTCCTGGTTGGTTCGCTCATTGCCAGAGATCTTTGTTGCTGATCTTTTCTGGCTATCTGATCTTCAGCATTGAGCAAAGACAACTGTTAATGAAGGTCTGAAGTTTGTTGGAGATGCTCTTTACGATGGGCAGTGCAAGTCTCTGATCCGTATAGTACCACTGACTGACTTCACATTGGAGTTGAAAATCCGGATCTTATTTTCTTTTCATGCTGAGTGCTGCTGACCTCCACACAGACTTGAGAGTAATGAAAGCTTGTCTTGCTTTTCCGATTCTGGCTTTGATATCCTCATCAGTTCCGCCTGTAGTTGAAACGATACTTCCCAGGTAGGTAGGTGAAGGAGGTTGTTTCTTTCAGGTTCCTCCCATTTATGCTGATTGTTTTCTGATACTTTTTGTTAAGGTAGTCTATTATTGAAAGATGGTACTCTGAAGAGAGTGTGACAGCCTGACTGACTACCATCCGCCCTACCTTCAACAATTATTGTGCATTGTTCATCAAGAAATAACTGAATTTGATTTTTATAAGGCTTTTCTGTGGCAGTATATAGATAAATATTGTTAACAGTATACTCACTGTTAGCGCGAACTGCACTCCAGAGGACTCACAGTGATGATCACAGAAACACAAATATGTCACTTAAAACTTACATGGAACGAAGACGTGACGTTTTGATTCTTTTATATTGCTTCTGATGGCTTAATAAGTGTGCCAAGAGCTCAGAACCATTTGACTTGCTCAGTAGTGTCTGGCTCATGTTTCTGGGGATTCAATCACATTATCACAGCCCGGGTTTATTTTAAGGTTTGAAGAATGAGCATCTAGGACATTTTAACTGTGGCCTTCATTTATGCTTGTCATTTTTTCTATGACCTAACTGAGGTTCAAGCCGCTACAAAACAGAGAATAATTACGAGTTCTGACAGGCTGGTGCATTGAAAGTACTATGCTGCTTATCTGGAGACACACTGATTGCAAGACTCTTCTTTGGCCTCCGAAAATAAAAATGAACAGGTTAAATTATTGAATAGGTTATAGGATTACGTAGTGTTTATCTTGACATTGATGTGAGGGTGCAAAATCGATGCTGTAAATCGTTCTGTTCTGATATGATTCTGTGAAACAGGTCAAGGTAACTTTAAATATGTTGACACTAGCACGTGTTTTCGTCGATATTATTTACTACATTCTGCTATATTATCACTACGTGCCTTAGTGGCACAGCGGTAGAATGCTCACTGACTACGCATATGGTCCGGGTTTCGATTTCTGGCTGACGCACTCTTTTACCTCGCAAAGAGTAATAAGGCTGGTAAAGAGGAAAAGTTGAGTATGAGGCTAGCAACCACATCCCGTAAAAGTAAACACTATTGCTACAGAAATTTCAGGTATCTAGTTTGAAGTCATATGTTCTACTGGAAAAGTTAAAGAATAAAAAGACACCATACTATTACTAATAATAATGAGCCTAGGATTTAAAAAGCGTGTTCTTACGAATGCCAGTAATTAAAGAGATGGCATGAATTCTTCTAGTAACACATCATCATCCCTTGAATCAGTTGTTATTAGTGGCTGATCAAATACAAATGGCCCCAACCTAATACCAACCCTTCTTATACAGATGGAAGATATATTGTCAGAAAAGGCGGAGATTTCCAACTTAATCTGCATCACGAGCGACACGCAGCTACAAACAAATGATCTCGGGATAAAACTAGGTCTACTTGACCTCAGCTCAGAAACTACCTAACATATTACAGAAGAACTGAGTAATCTGAATTTTTAAACTCTTCAGTTCGAAGACTGAACTAACTCATACTGACTCGGAAAGTGGTAACGAATTAGATTACGCTAGGGACTATTTGTCGAGCGTAGTCGTTAAAAGGTTCACATTAAAAAGAACGCTAAAGTGCACAATATACCAGACAATGAGCCATTAAGTTATGTTCAACTCTCCTTGTTAATGGCTGCAAACCTATCACGTACACCTTGTCAGTGTGTTTGGCTAAATAAAAAGACTCAGACCGTACGTGTCCCATACTTTTCAGATTTGACCGATTTATAAAATAGCCGGACGATTTAGTAATTCTGGGGTATTTTGGCCCCTTTTACAAAATTCAAGAATGTTAAAATAGTCTCGGACAAAAACCCCGAATAACGAAAAGTATCTAAAAACACCTTAGTTACAAACACGATTTTACTACAAGACGCAAATAATGTCAATACCGAAGTATCGAAGGACACTGAAGCACAAAGTGACACTCGCATAGTACTAGGTGAACAAATGATGCTTGAAAACGAAGGGGAACCTAAAAGGAGCAGTAACATTCGAATCGGTCTTGAAGAGTATGTTAGCACTCATAGGAAATCCGCCGACCCTACACACGAAGTAAATATGGATGATCCCACTACTAATAACCTGCAGTAATCGACAGATCACACTCATCACAGGGCCAAGCAAGATGTTCTGACAGTAGGAGCCGGAAAAACATGTGGGCTACTAGACTCGACGACACTAGATACCATATGAAAGGAATTTCATTTCCAAGCCCTTGTAGTAGTGAAGTAAAGCCCCATCAGCATAACGGGCATAGATTGGATCATGGTCCTTCCATGTACACGCACGAAATGCAAATACGAAAGACCCAACATGCACTAACCTCAAGACAATCTAAAAGCAGGGGACTTAGGCACTGTTAATAGCAACAGTCAAAAAGGAAGCCTAATACGGAGAAATAATCCCAGATACCC